GCTCCACATTCTCATTAGCATTTGGTATTGTCATTTTTCTCTTTTCTCTTCTTTTTTCTTAATTTATTAATTAATTTTCTTGCTAGGTATACAGGTCACACAGTGATTTTAGTAGTAGGGCTGGGAACAGAACCCAGTTTCCCATTCTAGCATGCATGTTGAACAGCTGCTCCTAGAACCTTTCTGCCAACCTGTCACTCTCAGGAAAGGGAGAGCTTAGTGTTAGAGTTCATCTGAGATTGTTCTCCAGGGAAGTTAAGGATTCCTGTGAAGTCAGCTGGAGAGATTCTCTGGCCTTTTACAGCTTCCTGGAATCTGGGTGGGGAACTTATGGCTTGCCTGTCAGAGTCCAATCCAGGCAAGGCCAAGATGGAGTGACTTCCAGGTGTCTGGGGGCTTGGTGTTTCCCTAGACTAGAGGGGAGGGCAGGTCTCCTTTCCCTCTTCTCGGGAAGTGAGAAGGGGAGAGTGTTGTGATCAGCAGAGGGCAGGGCTGGACTAGGAACAAGTCACTTAACATCAAGGCCCACATACTCCAAACTCCTTAGAATATGGAGCTCTGCCTTCCAGAGCCTCAACGTCTGTTAGTAGTAGGAATAATGATAATAATATTACTAGGTGCCAGGCACAGTTAAGGACTCTCCATACATTATCTGCCTGAACACTTGCAACCTGCTTTTGAGAGGCAAGATAAAGCGGTAGTTAAAGACGTGGTGTTAAAACTTTCTGGGCTCAGGTCTAGTCATCTCACTTTCTGGTGTCTTTGAGCAAGTTGTTTAAGACTCTTTGTCCTGCAGCTTCTGCGATATTGTGATATGTAATAAGAAACAGATATTTGGTCTTCATCCCAGGTTTGGGTTCTGGCTAATAGATCCCAAAACCTTGGAATTTACGGTCATGACAGCAACAATGGTGTCTTACTATGTTAATGAAGTGACTTTTGGACCCCACCTACCTGTAGGGCTGGTTTCCAGGAGAACCATCTTGTGATTAGAAGTTTGGAACATATAGTTTCACTCCCCACTTCTGATCCCTGACCTCCAGGGATGGGAGAAGGGCTGAAGATTGAGTTCAATGGCCAATGGTCAATAACTTAATCAATTATGACGATGTAATGCAGCTTTCATAAAAACCAAGGAGGACAATTCATCACTGCCCCTTTTTATTAGAGAGCTTCCACGTTCGCCAATGAGAATGATTCCAGTGTCACCTTGCTGGCCCAAGTTCCATGAAGACAGCCAATCTTTTTTTTTTTTTTTTAATCCTCACACGAGGATATATATTTTTTCCATTGCTTTTCAGAGAGAGTGGAAGGCAGAAACAGAGAGAGAGAGAGAGAGAGAGATCAATGTGAAAGAGCCACATCAATTGTTTGCCTGCCTCATAAGCCCCAATCAGGGCCAGGGATAGAACCCACAACCCAGGCTCATGCCCTTGACCCTTTGGTTCAAGGGCCGATGCTCTAACCACTGAGCTAAACCGGTGAGGGCAATAGTCCTTACTTTTAACTACTATGTTAGATTGGCTCCTTCTACTAAAAAAATTCTTAGCAATGGGTGGGAAGATTGACACATCTTGTCAACTTCCTCCCTTCTCATTTGGTACCGAAGCTGGATCTGGAAAGTTGGAAAAAAAGGCAGAAAGGTAGCCTTTATTCCTCTCCTACAGAGCTCAGCCTCAGCACCTCCCTGTCCTTGCCCACAGCCTTCCCACCCATTCACCGAAGCCCTTCCACCCAGCCTCATCTTCACCTTCTCCATCCCCAAACCCGTCACCATCCAATCCCACGTCATCTCCTCTCCACCCCTGTTCCATTGTCATCTTCCTCCCTATCTCTGTGAGGCAGGTCTTGGGTTAGGCTTGGTCCCAGGACCTGAGACCAACATCTGTGAACTGAGGTAGAGAAAGTTTGTTTTCTCTTATAGTGTCAATATAAAAATACCCATGAATTTCCTGAGTCATTCTTTCCCAATCCTCTTTCTCTGACATATTTTGGAGTCTCACTTGTTTACATACTTTCCAGAGTCTAACTAACCTCTCCCCTACACCCACTTGTGCAGTCAGTGACCTCATATTCTCAACTCCCAAACACATCATTTGACCCTGCAGTCTAGTTCACTTCCCAAGAAGAGTTAGTCACAAAGGGTGGGGCCAGGAGATGGTCCTGGTGTATGCCCAGTCTGAAGATAATTTTACTCTCTCTGCAAGTCCTTGACTTTCATCCCAGCAACGAGTGGGAATGTGGGCAAGGTTAGATAGAGCAGCCAGATAGCATGAATAAATGCCTCCATCTAGAACCTGGCTGGCGTGTGGAGTCAGGACTGAGTCAGGCAGGCCAAGTGCCACCTGAGGCTACTCAAGATTGTGATGGCACATCCCTCTCTCCAACTGGAATGCACTTGGCATTGTCTGGCATCTGGGCAAGAGTGATCATGGAGTCTTTAAGAGACTCTCACTCAGGCCCTAGCAGGGCAGAGAGGGGAGAGTTGAGTAGAGCGTGTTACAGATAATCATTACAGTCATGGTAACAATATCCTCTAGCCTAACACGGAGAGATGAATTAGGATGGGGCAGATAAATATTTTAAGTGGTCTTTAGAAGGAATAAGGAAGGCACTGATGGGCCAGATTTGGGCCACTTGTTTTTTCTCTTCCAGTGTTTTAAATTCTCCCTCTCCCTTCCTCTTTCTCTAAAATCAATAAAAACATGTACAATAAATTAATAAATTCCTACTCTTTAAAGTTCACCAAATGTGAGCCTGTGAAACCCTGAGCTTTCTCCTCCCACACTCCCCCAACCCTAATAAAAACAACCCCAGGCCCTCCTCTCTCTACCCATGACGTCACCGGGTGGCCCCAAGTGTGCCATGTAATTTCCAGGGCCTGTAAGTACTGACCGTTGTTTCTTTCAAAGTTTCCTGATAGTTATTGCTGAGGGTATCTTACAATCACAGTAAGAACCACGAGAGCTGGTCCAGCCACAACAGTGATTATCAATAGGCTGAGATCAGCACACAACACATACATTTTCTCATCTGTATAATTTCCTGGGCCAGTATCATTATCTGACTTTCTAATACCCACACAGACAATTTAATAGATGAGGAAACAGACTCCAAGAAGGTAAGGGATTTTTCTCTGTAGCTACATAGAGGTAAAATTGACACTAGAATCCAGGTGTCTTAGCTCCTGATCCAGTGCCCTTTCAGTTCTGGCAGAGATTCCTTCAATACAGAGGGTTGGGAGCCAAAGGTGTTTGGCTGGTCAGAAGAGGTAGGGTAAGATCAACAAGGAGGGGGCCCGGAGCAGGGATGTGGAGATGGCCTGAAACTCCCTGCCACAGGTTTTGTTGGCTGGAGAACTCCATGACTCAGCAATTTCACTCTTAGATATAGACCCAAGAGGAATGAGTGCATCATTTTCACCAAAAGACAGGTACAAGAATGTACATAGCAACTTTATTCTTAATTTTAAAGAATGAAAAACCACCCAGATGTCCAGCAACAGAAGAATGGATAAACAAACTGTGGTATATCTCTAGAATGGAATACAACTAGGCGGTAAAAATGAACAAACTATGGATACATACAACGACATGGGTGAATCACAAAGACACTGTGTTGTGTGAAATGAGCCAGTCTCAAAAGAGTACATTCAGTATGAGCAAAACTAACCTGGAGAAATCACAGCAGTGATTGCTTCTAGGGGCTGAGGGAGACTGACTGGAAGGGGGACTTACGAGGGAAGTTTCTGGGATGATGTCAATGTGGTAACACATATACATGGTAACTTTGAGATTTATACACTTTGCTGAATGCAAATTATACTTATATTTAAAAAAATTTAAAGCTCGGCTTTTTAGGAAAGAGCCAGTTGAAGAAGGGAAAGGAAGGGTCTTAAAGAGCCAAAATTGTAGGTGACATCCCAGGTTGACTACTGTGTTAGGTGACCAACTGCCCTGATTTGCCTGGGAGTAAGGGGTTTCCTAAGACAAGAGACTTTTGGTGCTAAAACTGGGAGAGTCCTGGGTAAACCAAGACTGCTGGTCACCCAGCTGCTGTGGAAGTGGGGAACTGAGAAGAAGTTTTGGATGTTTGACCCACAACCTGAACTCTCTTGGTCTCAGAGTCCCAGGTCAGGACAGTGGGCACTGCTAGCTGACACCGGGGACATCAGGTTGAGGAGGCATCTTTGTTCCCAGGAGACACTCTAGGAACAGCTTCCTGACCCTCTGTGGGGGGAGGGAAAAGGCCTCAGAGCTTGAGTCGAGGCACTTGCGCTGACCAGGCTCTAAGCTTCACAGCTGCACTGGGCTCTCAGGAGATTCTCACTCAGCCCCATTTTCACACCCTCATTCCTCAAATGCCTTGGCCAAGAAAATACCGCAGCAATACATTGCTTCTGTGGAAGATAACCAAGCTTGGGAACCTAGCAGAGGCAAATGCTATTGCATCTCTTCACCTCCACGGCTGTCGCAAGGCAGGGGCTCTCCCCTCCCCACTTGGTCTGCCACAGCCTGTGGTGACGTGAGCTGGAAGGGTCTCCTCTAACTTCTTTTTTAAAAAACAAACTCAAACTCAGGTCACAAAAATAGTAAATAGTAAAGCAGACAAGTTTGAATCTAGGTGTATCTTGATTCTACAGATGATTTTTTTAAAAAATATGCTTTTATTAATTTTGAGAGAGAGAGGAAAGGAGAAGGGGAGAGAGAGAGAACCATCCATGGGCTGCCTCCTGCACACCCCGTACTGGGGATGGAGCCTGCAACCCAGGCACGTGCCCTGACCGGAATCCAACCAGCAACCTTTCGGTGTTCAGGATGACGCTCAGCCAACGGAGCCACACAGGCCAGGACTCCTCTGCCTTCTCAGACCATGGGACATGGGGGTAATGAGGGAGAGGCTCTTCCAGCTCTCTAACTGAGGCCAGAGGTGAATTCTGACAAAGAAACTGCCAACAGGGCTGGTCCACAGGGGGGAAGCAGGCACCAGGGTGGGCGGGCTCAGAAGTTCTCGTAGTGGTGCATGAAGAGGGCCTGGTCCTGCCTGTTGATGAGCTGACAGGCCTTCTCTACATTCTTGGTCATTCCTGGAGGGCCGCAGCTGAATACTCCAAACTTTCGTACCTGTCAAGTGTGTGTGGGGAGAGCGGTTGCAGAGAAGAGGCCTGCAGACTTGAGAGGCTCTCTTCTCAAGCCTGGCTGGAATGACCAGGGCATCAATCCCAGACCCCAAGGAGGAGACTTGAGCTGGGGGTGGGAAAGTGGATAGGGGTTGAAGCCTTCCTCCAACACTTGACCTTATCCTGGGGCCAGGTCTGGGGGGGTGGTTCTCCACTCAAGACAGAGCCACAGGGTGCTTGCAGGCCAGAGTCCTGGTGGGGAAGGCCAGAGTCCCAAGATGGGTGGGGGTGGGACTAACCTTTGGGTGAACCTCCTGCAGGGAGTTAAAGAAGGGCTCGAAAGGGGGGCGACCAAAGTGGGTGACAGAGCGCAGGCCTGTGAACAGACTCCTGTTCAGCACCTTCTGGAAGTGCCGCTCGCAGATGTACTGGTGGAGAAACAAATGGAGGAGGAAGGTCAGAGCCAGCCAGAGCCAGGGTCGGCTCCTAGCCCAGGTGGTGACCCACCCACCCTGCCTGGCCGGCCCTGGCGTACCAGCATGGTGGTCCTGAGGTCGAACTTCTCAGCCAGCTGGGTGATGTAGATGTGCACAGACACCAGGTCCTGGTGGTCATTCTCCTCCACCTCCCGGATGATGTCAGCCAGCCACTCGAACTGCCGCTGGGTCCGTGTCACCCAGATGAAGTAGATCTGGGGACAGAGCTGAGCTCAGGACCCAGCTCAAGGTTCCTCCACTCCAGATGCCTTCACTTGAGAGGCTGGGGAGCTAGACCACCCACAGACACTGACCCTCTGTCAGGACCCACAAGCTTGATCCAAGGCTCCTAACTGACAGGTCCCAGCAGAGGTCTTTCTGGCTACACTTCTAACCCTCCTTCAAAACATTTGGCATCTGGAAAAGTGGGTATAAGTCGCCTTGGCAGACTTAGTGCCTATGAGCCAGGGGCTTTTTCTAACAGAATTCTATTGTGATGTGGGAACACAATTAGTCCATCTATTCCCATTCCTTTGAGGAATGGGAAAGACACGCACCTTTTTACAGAGCATTTGGCTGCCCAAGGATGACTTGAAGACCAGGTCTTTGAGGATAGAAGCAAAGGGGGTGACCCCAATGCCTCCTCCCACCAGCACTGACACCTCAAACTTATGCCACTCCTGGTGGCCCTCTCCAAATGGTCCATCGAGGTACAGCTGCCAACAGAAGGGGGGATAGATGAGACTGGCCCTGCCCCAGCTCTGAAGCTAGAAATGGGGGGTGGAAAAGAAGAAGGAGACAGGTACACCCTAGCCTCTTCCAAGTCGCCAGGCCCCCTCCCAGCCTGGCCTTGAGGTGTCTGGTGCTTCTAGTTTCAGAGTGGGGTAGGGTAGAGAAACTTCTGCTAATGCCAGAGCCCCAAAAGTGGTTCCCAATGATGGGCACCTTCGGGTATTTGGCACAGCTGTCAGCTGGGGGTGAGTAGATCTCCCTGAGGCGAATGGTCCAGGGCCCGGCCGCCCGGATGTGCAGACTGAGCGTGTCCTCATGGGGCGCGGAAGTCAGTGTGAAGGGGTGGTACTCGTTGGTGCCCAGAGCCAGGCAGGCGATCCGCACCCACTGTCCTGACTTGTACTCAAAGCCTTGGGGTCGTTGGAACTGCAGGTGAGTTACTCCTGGGGGTCACGGACAGAGAAAGGCAGGGATCAGAAGGCTTGCTTCTGTTACCTGAAGACTGGCAGGTACCCTGCCTTTTCCACACGCCTGAGGCACAGGGAACAGTCACATGGTCTGAAGAAGTTGGGCTCCTGGGGCCGGGAGTTGGAGGACTCCTTCCCCTGTTTCCTGGGTAACCTGAGAGCTAGACTTTTCTGCTCTCCTGTTCTAGCCTCTCTCCTCTCCGCTCTCTTCCCACAAAGGGTCCAAGTCCCATACCACTGTCCTAGATACAAACCTACAGGGTCAAGGAACCTCGGGTTCCCCAGGGACCATCTCAGCTCTTACCAAACCTCCACTCATAGCCATATCTGCACACCTCCTGCACTAACATTTATGTTTTTCTTTGAATTGACTTACTTTTTCAGTTTGATCTACCTTAACAAGAAGCTTTAGATCACTAAAGTAGGTGGGAAACCAGTATCATGTGCTCTAAATAGAAGGCATCACGTTTTATCAAATTTTTTCTGGATACTCTTTGGGGCCTGACTACAGATGAGTTTCAGGCCTGTTCTCTCTGTTGAAAAAGGAAATTTGCAAGTATTAGAGAGTGCAAAAGCCATATGACACTATGCTGAGACTTTGTCCTTAAGTAATCTTGATTGAAATAAAGTGGAAATGAGGTTAATATTCTTACTATGTGAGTCTTAAAGGTTGGATGGTTCCTGGACACCTAAAATCATCTATCACCTTCTACAGTGATGCAAATGCCCACTTTAGCAAGCACTGGCTCTCAATAACACTCTCGTAATCAGGCCATTGGCCTGTCTCTGAAAGGGGGTTGTTCTGCAAAATGGGGAAGAAGAGGGATATATGGTTCTCTACCCTGCCCCCAGGCCACCCATGTGGGGGTCTTTCTTGTCCTTAAACCCTTTAGTCTGCACTTTCAGCTGTATCTTCTCATAGTTACTTCTCACTGTCTACGAGCCCTCCTGGGGCTGTATTTGTATCAGGAAAGCTGCAGGGGTTCCAGAGAGGCTGTCAGGAGCCAAGACGGGGGTCAGGAGGCCAGGGACGCTGTCTCCCCATGGCCCCTGGGTTGACTTCCAGTGCTCCCCGGCCAGGGTCAGGCCAGGCCTGGTACCTGAGGGCAGCAGCTCCGCCTTCACCACGCTGATCTCCACCTTCTTCCGGCTCAGGCTCACCAGCTTGTCCCCGCCATAGATTAGTGCCGGGACCAGGAAGTAGATGTGGAAACGGGGCAGCTGGATCAGGCCGAAGCTGCCGTGGATGATGATCTGGAGACATGGCCAGTTAGTCTAGCTCGGGCCCAGTCGGGCCCCCTCCCTGCCCGCCCCTGGCCCAGACGTTTTCTGCCAGGGCTCCCGGCCTGAGCTGGGGAATGGGGATGGCATTAGCTTCAGAGACTGGGGTCTCAGACCTCAAGGTCTCAGTTTGAGATCTTGTGTCCAGTGCAGCCTGCTCATCCCTGCCCCATGGCCCGGCCCGCCTGGNCCCACTAGCCTGGCTCAGAGGCAGAAGCCCTCACCAGGACGTAGAGCAGGATGTAGAGGTGGTGGGTCAGCCAGAAGCCCCGGAAGCTGCGGCGCCGGAAGTGGTGGGAGGCGAAGACGTACATGATGGCCAGGACCAGGAGCAGAAGCACCCCTGTCATACCTGGGGGCACGGCATGCAGGGAGAGCGAAGCGTGTCAGGACCTCGGCCTGGACTAAGAATACAACAGAACATTCCCCCCATTCTGCCCTCCTTCCCTGGCTGCCCTCATCCC